CAGGCTTGGGGCTGGCTCAGTGTGCCTGGAATCTCAGGATCTCAGGACTGGGAGGCTGGTGCAACATAATTGTTATGCACTTTAGGCCACTCTGCTTTCCACTGTGAGTTCCAGGCCATCCTGGGACAGTGTGAGACCTATCTCCCCCAGCACCCAAAAAAGGAAAAGAAAGAGAATCCCCAAGGTTACATAGAGGGGTGTGTGTGTGTGTGTGTGTGTGTGTGTGTACATTTCTTGTATGCACACACGTGTGCAGATGGAGGTCAGTGGCTGACCTCAGATGAGTTCCTCAGTTACTTCTCTGCCTTAGGTTTTGAGACAGTCTCTCCCTAAATCCGAAGCCCGCTGGTTGGCTAGACTGACTGCCTAGGCAGCCCAGAGATCCTCCTGTCTCGACCTCCCCGCCATGCTGAAAATCTAACACATGTCCTTCCTTGTGTTGGAAAGAAAGCACTACCTGAGCCATCTCCCCACCTGTGAGTTGTTGTTGTTTTTTTTTTTCCTTTGTCTTGTTTTCAAAGAAAAATGGTCCACACCCAGAACTCAGGCCTGTGGTTGCCGACAGAACTTCAGGATGGTGTGCAAAGCGAGCGTTGGGTGTGTGCTGAGGGTGGTTCCTGGATGATGGCTCAGTCAGGTGGCAATTCTAGCCTTCTCCACTTGGCTGGGTTTGGTTGGAGGCAGGAAGCTGGATTCCTGGTTCACGTTGTATCTGGTCCACCCTTTTTGCCTCCCCAAGTGAACTCCCCACCCCCTGTGCAGTTCTTACACTTCTTGATCTTGGCACTTGTGAAGCAGTAGAAGATACGATACGGACTTAAGGGAGGGATGAGACAGATCTCCAGCTGCCCCAAGCTCGAAAGGTGCTTCAGGGCCCATCATCTTCCGAAGGACTTCCACCCAACACCCGTGAAGAGCACTGAGTCTGATTTTGATTTAAAATCAAAATCCAGAGGTTGGACACAGTGGCGCACACCTGGAATCCCACCACTTTGGAAGCTAAAACAGGAGGAGATTTTACAAGTTCAAAGCCAACATGAACTGCAGAGTGAGATTCCGTCTCAAACAAGTTCTAAAACCAGAATTTCATGGACAGAGATATATGGATGGCTTAAAATAATTTTTATAATATTTTATTTTTGTGCGTGTGCGCATATGTAGGGGTGTATGTGTGGAGGTCAGAGGACATGTTGTAAGACTAGTCATCTCTTTCTACCACGTTATTTCCAGGGATCAAACTCAGGTCGTCAGGTTGGGTAATAGGCACCTTTACCTCCTGAGCCATCCCACTGGCCTAGAAAAGCTTAATTAAGACCACATTAATTTAAAAAAATGTTTTAAAAATAAAACCACATTAAGATAACTTTTCACCTGCTGAGATGATCAAAATTTAAAAGACCAGGTATATTAAGTACTGACAAAGTCAGTGATCAATTGAACTCATACATTGCTGATAGGATCCAGAGTGGCACAACCATATTGGCTGATTATTTCTTGTGAAGTTACAGGTAGACTTACAATATCAAGAGAATTTAAACTTAAAAGTACCTCAAGGCCCATGTGCAGAAGTCTGGTCCCTAGACAGCAGCTCAACCCTGAGAGATGGAGCCTAGGGAAGAGGTTAGACCCCCAGGATGTGCCCTTGGGGATGTCAAGACTCTGGCCTCCCTTTCCTTCTCTTTTTGTGCCCCACTGTAAGGGACACCATTTTTCCTGCCAACTGTCTCCTAAACAACGCACTGTACTGTCACAGACACAAACCTCAGAAACCTCTAAACTGTTTACCTCGAGTGTTTTATTACAGTAACAGGAGCTGACTAACAAAAATATGATTCACAAGTCGCACTTTTAGATACAGAAATAAAAACACGTTTCTCACAATAAGACTTGTATACAAATATTCACAGAGTCTTCATTCCTAATAGTCAAAACTTTCAAGGGATACTTCCCAGGAGCCCATTGTCCATGAACAGGTGATTGAAAAACCTTGCATAGCCACCCAATAAAAACCATTTACCGCCGGGCGGTGGTGGCGCACGCCTTTAGTCCCAGCACTCGGGAGGCAGAGCCAGGCGGATCTCTGTGAGTTCGAGGCCAGCCTGGACTACCAAGTGAGTTCCAGGAGAGGCGCAAAGCTACACAGAGAAACCCTGTCTCGAAAAACCAAAAAAAAAAAAAAAAACCATTTACCATTCATTGATTTACTTCTTTTTTTTTTTTTTTTTTTTTTGGTTTTTTCGAGACAGGGTTTCCCTGTGTAGCTTTGCGCCTTTCCTGGAACTTGCTTTGGAGACCAGGATGGCCTCGAACTCACAGAGATCCACCTGCCTCTGCCTCCCAAGTGCTGGGATTAAAGGCGTGTGCCACCACCACCCGGCATCATTCATTGATTTAAAAACAAGACTTTTGATTGCATAATCATGTGTGTCTCTCAGACACATTACAATGAGAACAAAAAACCCAGACAGCCTGGAGAGTTCTCACAGGTGACTCCATTTGCACACAGTACCACAGCGGGCAACAGTCATCTCTCATGACATAGTGGGTGAGTACTTGCTGGGCCAGATGTCAGAAGGCCAATTTGCTGCCAAGGACGTGAATGGCCTTAATGCAGCGAGAGCATGTTCCACATCTGGACTGGGGTGATTTCGGTGTCAGCCACAGCACACGTGCCCAGTGTAAGGCCTTGAGTTCAAGCCCAGAAATAATTCACAGAAGCACATGCATAGCGCATGTATCTGCTGTATGCAAATTGTTAGCTGGCACACAGAAACATTTCAGTCATCCATGGAATGCTGTCTCTTCAAAGCTGGCAGGCTTTCAAGGAAACGTGTCGGGAATTGGTTCTGAGAGTTAGCATTCATCATAAAACACTGCACAGGACTGTGGTGGCTACGTCTTCATCAACTGGACCGGATTTAGAATTACCTTAGGAAACACACTGGTGGACATGCCTACGAGGACATTTCCAATGAGGTTTAACTTGGGAGAGATGACCCACCCTGAGTGTGGGTTGCGCTATCCTGTATGCTGGGTCCAGGATCGTATAAAAAGGGAAAAGCCGCCGAGTGCTCTGAGATGGAACCACGCCTTCTCACCATGATCCACCTTGTCCCTCTCAAGCTCTGAACAAAACCAGTCTTCCTTTCCTGATGACATTTTGTCATAGCAATGATAAAAGTAACAAGGACTCGTCTTTATTGGGACTCGGTGTGCAAATCTCAGTAGTCGGGAAATGACTGACTATTCAGTGGATTCTGAGACAGCCTCTGAAGTACTGAGGTCAAGCACAACATGAAATTTCCCACAGAGCGCCATTGTGCTTACAGGACTGCTGATCGAGCAGATTCAGAAAAGTTAAACACTACAGAGTGGTCTGTATTGAAATAATACGATTTCCATTGCATTTTCATGTTGAAACATTTTGGGCTATTTTTAAATAATTCATAGAATCAACTGAAGCCACGAAACAAAATGAATCTATATGTATACGTGAATACATATATATTAATTTAGAACACTAACTGTGTCATAAAACTTAAACCATATGAAATTAAAATTCACGATGATGATAATATAACATGGGCAATGTCAAAAGTTAAAGTTTTTGTTTGACTTTTTAAGTTAGTTAATAATAATAATAATAATTGTAGATGTGTATGGAGTGTGGGTACATGCAGGGTCAGAGGACAGCTCTGTGGAATCAGGTCTCTCCAGCCTTCTAAGGATTTCAGGGATAAGACCCTGGTAGAGGGGCTGGAGAGACGGCTCAGTGTTTGAGATCGCTTATAGCTCTTACAGAGGACCTGGGTTCAGTTCCCAGCACCAATATGGGGGGTTCACAACCACTCATAACTCCAGTTCCAAGGAACCCGACACCTTCTTCTGACTTCCACATATGTACATGCTTGCAGGTAAAACATTTATTCACATAAAAAATTTTTTTTAATGAAAAAGGAACCCTGAGGTCATCATGCTTGGTCAGCAAGCTCTTTGCCCACTGGCCAACACTGGAAGAGCAGTAAAATATGAGTGACTGGAGAGTTATTTGAGTGTGGTGGAATAATAAGTTAAAAACATGAAAATTCCAAAATAATAGAGAACCAAAAAGAAGTATAAATAGCATGGAAAAATAGAAACAAATAGTATGCAACAATTATAAACCAAATGTGTTGTAATTATACCACACGTTGAACGATAAAAGAAACAGTGCTTTCCAAAGTTCTATAAATGGTACATCATCCACCTGAATCAACGTCTTTTAAAAAAGAAAGCTGGGCTAGGACTGTAGCTCAGTTGGTAGAGTACTTGCCTAGCAAGCATTAAACCCTGCTCTAGATGCCCAAGTCTGCATAAATTGGCCCAGTGGTATGTGCCTGTAATCCTAGCCATCAGGAGTTGGAGGCAGCTTTGTGAAGCATTTAAGACCAGCCTGGGCTGTTACAAAGACCTTGTCTCAAAAAAAAAAAAAAAAAAGGAAAAAGAAAAAAGAAAAGGCCTTCGAGGTGGCCCAGCAGGTAAAGGGACTTGTTACTAAGTTGATGACCCGAGCTGATCTCTAGAACCCAACTGGTGGAAGAAGAGAACCAATTCCCACAAGCTGTGTTCACACACACACACACAAACACACACACACACACACACACACACACACACACACACACACACACAGATTTAGAAGGAGGAGGAGAAGGAAAAGGAAGGAAGGGAGGGAGGGAGGGAGGGAGGAAGGAAGGAGCAGCTAAGAACTTTGTATCATTTCTGGGGCTCCCGATTCAGCTGCGTGTTCACCCCCTGTCCCTGCCCTTTCACCACAAAAGGAAAAGGCAGTCTGTCCAGTCCATCCATCTGAAAGGGCGTCACATGTCACTTTTTAAAACAAAACTCATCTCATTTCCTCATCAGCCCTCACAACTCCCTGCAGAGGTAAACATGTCATGGAAAGCTAGATGTAAAAAGATGAACACAGAAAGGAAATTCTAAGGCAGTTTAAGACACACCTGGGCAGGACCCGAGCGTGACTCAGCTCCAACAGCCAACATCCCTGGTTCCAAGACAGGCATGTTTGTGCAATGCGACCGCACAGCTTCTGATAGACAGGCACTAACCTCGATACATTTCACGTCAACAGCTGGAAAAACAGAATAGAAATTATTTGTTCAAGCAATCCCATTGTTTACCATCCAAATAAAACTACCCCAAACTTCTTGTACTTCACAAAATGGTTTTTACCAATGTGTACTAAAGTAGTTTGTGTGTAAACCGAGCTCTGTTTGGAAACAAATTCAGGCTGGCCTTCCACTCACAGCAATCCTTCTGCCTCCACCTCCAAGTGCCGAGGTTGTGGGCCTGCATTAGCACATCCAGCGGTTATTAAGCTATTTAGACATTCCTTTCCGTTGAATACCTACGTATTCACCTTCTGCTAACGTGTTCCGAGCAGTGGAGATTTACCCTGCTTTATGTATAGAATAGGCCTTGATTTCTTGCAGTAGTGAAAAAACATTCCAGGGGTTGAACAGAAAGGAAACAGAGGTGGCACTGTGGGAGAGAAATGGCTAGGCTCAGAGCTGCCCTGAAAATGGAAATTAAAGAGGATCCCAGAAAGCAGGGTAACTACAAGGAAAACACAAAATCAGGTCCTTGGCTACTTTTACAAGTGTTGCTGTGTGTGTGTGTGTGTGTGTGTGTGTGTGTGTGTGTATGTGTGTGCAAGCACACGTGCCAATGCCAGGAACCTTGCAGACAGCAGGAGCCTCAAGGGTTGCAACTCCAAGTTCCCCTCAGAGTTTGGCAAACATGGCAGGCTCTTCCTGAAGAACTAGAAGGGCTGTGCCCAAGGAGTCAGAGCACATCCTGAGGCCCAGGACACGGCCACAGCCTGGACACCACCTCAAAACAGGCTTAAAGAAATCCATCGGTGACCTAATATCGGAAGTGGTGCAGTTCAGAGGCTCTATCCACACACAATTCTAAACCATAGGAACTTAAAAAATTACTAGATAGGGGAAAAAGCGAATAAACAGTAAATGAAACCCAGAACAGAGACCATAGAAGCCTGCGGAGAAGCCAGATACTGAGTTTACTTGGCAAGCGGTTGAAACCAACCTTAGATGTGTTAGAAGGGTTGAAGGAAGGAGCAGAGAGACAGACTCTGGGTGGAGCGAGGTGGGCACTGAGCTCTGAAAATACAGCTCAGGAGCTAGTGAGCCATCGGCTAGGCTTCACTGAGACCCCATAGCAGTGACAGGACTTGAAAGCATGTCAGGCCTTGTGACCCCAACACTGAGGTCTGGGGGTAGGATGGCAGGTTTGAAGACAAGCTGACCTACATGGGGCCGGCGGGTGAGAGGGTGGATTACTTCTTGAAGCACAAAGAGGAGAGAAAAAAAGAAGTTTTTAACATTGAGTAGAGATGAGACATAGTAGCGCACACTTGTCATCTCAGCACTTGGGAGATAGAGTAGGAGGGTCAGGAGTTCAAGGTCATCCCCAGCTTCATGGCAAGTTCCAGGCCAGTCTGGACAAATAAGTAAGTAAGTAAATAAGTAAATAATTAAATAGATAAATAACTAAATAAATGTCAGGGCTAGGGAGATGGCTTAGTCAGCAAGGTGCTAACTGCTCATGTGTCCAGGTCCTGGGTGACTGTCGGGCACTACCGTTTACATCTGCAACCCCAGAACAGGGCAGACAGCTGAATCCCTGGAACTCACTAACCTGTCAGTCTGAAGATGAGCTCCAGGTCCAGAGAGATATCCTGTCTTGAAAAATAAGGTAGAGAGTGGCTTAGGATATAGACCTCTGGTCTTTGGGTGGACACACATGCATACACACACAAACATACAAACACAAACATTTATATACATATACCACACATATGCACACAAACATGTACACATATATACCACATACACATATATACATACAAACAAACATGTACACACATATATCATACATACACACAAACATACATACATATATCACAAACACGCACATATCACACATACACATATAAATTCTGGCAAAATAAAGACATTTTTGGTCAAACACTGAGCAAATTTCTTGCAGATAAATCCTCGTGGTATGTAATCTTGTGTAACTATTTAAATATGCTAAGAGTCTGTAGTTGGGGATTTGTTTGTTTGTTGGTTTGTTTGACTCTTTGCACTTTGGGGACTCACCACCCAGCTCCCAAAATAAATACATGGAAACTTATTTTTACTTATAAATGTCTGGCCTTAGCTTGACTTGTTTCTAGCCAGCTTTCCTTAAACTATCCTGTCTTCCTCTGGGCCTTTACATTCTCTATTCTCTATTCCTTTCTTTCCTTCTTACTCCGAGTCTTGCTGTGTGGCTGGTCCCTGGAGTCCCCCTCTCTTCTCTTCTTCTATTTATCCTCTCTGCCTACCCGACCTGCCTATTTCTCTCTCCTGCCTCGCTATTGGCCATTCAGCTCTTAATTAGACCAATCAGGTGTTTTAGACAGGCAAAGTAACACAGCTTCACAGAGATAAACAAATACAACCTGAAAGAATGTGACACATCTTTGCATCATTAAACAAATGGTCCACAGCATAAATGAATGTAACACATCTTCAACTAATATTTCACAACAAGATTCACTACATTGTATATGTAAAATGGGTAGTTTATGGTATGTAACTATACCTCAATAAAGCTGTTTCTAAAAGCTTTGGGGATTGAAGAGGCAGTTCGGTGGTGAAATGCTTGTCTGGTGTACACCGTTTCCTTGGGTTCAATCTCCAGCACCACAAAAATAAGTAAATAAAGTAAGTTAGTAAGTAATTCTGGGGCATCTTCTTCCAGTCTTTCTCCTACTCGCTGTCTCTTTCTTGCTGAGACTTGATTTTAGGATCCCAAGTAAAACTGTTGCACGACAGTAAGAGAGATGCCGATTTCCCAGCAGATATCCCTGCCTACTGGGTGGTGACATTCTCTCCTCCTGGAGAAGAGTCCACCTGCAGAGGTGCAGACCTGAGATCATGAAAAGAAGTCCATTTAGTCAATTCATCTGTAAAGGGAGGACCGCTTGGGAGTGTTGGGCTTCTCTTTTGAGTTCTTTGCTCTTAGCTCTTCCCTTTTCAGCCTGCTTATTCATGACAGAAACATATTTATGTTATTCTTTAAAGTGAAGGGAAATTTAGGAGGCAATGGAGGGGACAGAGCTGACTTGGAAGACCTGAATTCTGGGTTTTATATTGTAAGCACCTGCTCCCTTTTTGTGTATCAAAGATAATGTACACAAAAATCCCTAGAATGGTTTTGGGTTGCAGTAGTATATGCTCAGTAAAATGGTAGCTACCATTATCAGCAGCAGCAGCAGCATTACTGGGGGTGCTATGATTTAGGTATGGCTTGAGTGTGTCTCCCCAAAAGTTCATGTGTGAGAAGTTTGGTGTTCCATGTGGTGATGATCGGGGTGGAGGAACCTTCAAGAGACAGGGTCTGTAAATTGGCCTGGAGGACTTTCTGTTTGGGAAAAAAAAATGAGATATCTCTCATGGGACCTGGTTAGTTCTCAAAGGGGTTGATATAAAAGAGCAAGAGCAGCCAGGCTGTGGTGGCGCATGCCTTTAATCCCAGCACTTGGGAGGCAGAGGCAGGAGGATCTCTGTGAGTTCAAGGCCAGCTTGGGGTACAGAGTGAGTTCCAGGACAGGCTCCAAAACTACACAGAGAAACCCTGTCTCGAAAAACCAAAAAAAGAAAAAAAAAAATAAAAAGAGTAAGAGCCTGCTCTGCAGCCCCTCCCCCTCCACTATCCTCTATAAAGCCCTCCCCCAGCTGAGGAGAAGCCAGTCCTTGCTCTCAAGCCTCCAAACACGAGAGCTAGATAAACCAACCTCTTTTCTTTGTAAGTGTCGGTTGCAGGCATTTTGTTATGGCAATGAAAACTGTACAAGATGGGGCAAAGAAACCAGAGATTAGGACTCCACCGCACCACCAGCCCCGCGAACCACATCTTAGCTCCATCTACTATGAAGGTGAAGACCAAGTAGATGCTAGATGATAAAACTGTAAAGCACTGGACCCAGAATTCTGACCTTTGATGTCTCTTCTGACTCCAATAATCTATAATTTGCATCTGACAAAGGGGTGAGGGCAAATGGTTACTGTAGTATAGAAGGCAATGAGATCTGCCAACGATCAGAGTCACTGTAGCAATTCTGATGTTATTTGTAAAGGAAGCGTGGTAGTTTAAAGGAGATCGGCCCCCATAGGCTCATATGTTTGAATACTTGGTCCCCAGTTGGTGGAATTTTGGGGAAGGATTGGGGGGTGTGGCCTTGTTGGAGGAGGTCCCTGGGGTTTTAAGAATTAAGTCATTCTCTGTTTACTCTCTCTGCCTCCTCCCTGTGATTCAGGCTGTAAGCCCTCGGCTGTTCTTGCTACCACGCTTTCACTCTGCCGTCATGAACTCTGACCCTCTGGAACTGTCAGCCCAACTAAACGCTTTCTTTATAAGTTGCCTTGGTCACACTGCTTTAGCGGGCAGTAGAAAAGTTACCAACATACACTAGTTGTATTGTGGCTGTGACCAAAATATCCAGCAGGACCATTTAAAAGAAGGAATTTTTTTTATTCTGGCTCACGGTTTCAGAGAGGTCAGCCCATGGCTGCTTGGCCCCTAGGCATGGTGGCAGAAATGTGTGGCAGAGGTGGTTCACTTCTCGGTGACAGAGACAGAGAGATAAGTACACTGGGACAAGGTACTCCCAAAGACCAGCTCCTGATGACCTATCTCCTCTAGCTAGCCCTCCCCCCCCACACACACACAACATTTCCAGAACTCTCCAAATGGTGTCACTTAGCTGATAACTGTGCCCCTGATATGTGAGTCTATGAAGGAAATGTCTTATTCAACCTGCAGCACATGCTTTCTATATAGCCTACTGTAAGTAGGCATGAAGAGAAGCTGTGTTGAGGGCCAAAGCTAACCAAGGTTTGCCGTTGTTGTTTGGTTGGTTTTCCATTTTGTTTGTTTGTTTGAGACAAGGACTATGTTGCTCTGGTTAGTCTCAAACTCACAGAGCTCTGCCTGCCACCGAGTCCTAGGGCCTGGGACTAAAGTCATACCCCATCATGCCCAGCGTTATCAGAGTTAACTAAAAAATGTTTGCTAACATGATCTTAGACCCTCTTTTTATAGTTTGAATGTCCAAATTTGTTTTGTACTATCAAAATGTTATATATACATTCCAGCCGCTAGCTTGCACCATTAGTGGACTGTAAATGGGAAAACACAGTTCCATTAATCCAACTACTTCAGAGAGAGGGGTGATGAATTTGCAGACATATAAAGAACTGCAGAACATATAAAGAACTGGAGGAGCTGAATTAAATGAATTAAATCCATCTGTCTGAAAGGGTTAAGTACCTGCCCAAAGTGCCATCGAGGTACAGGTCACTCAGCTGTAGAGAGTATTTGAGGGGACTAAGCATCTTCAAAGGAGTGTTGTTATCTTAAGCATAATGACGGTGGCCCTGACACTTGGCAAGCTGCCCAGTTCAGGTGGCTTGTGCGTTCCCACATCACCATAGAAAGTTTTCTCAGTTCCTAGTGTCATGTTAATTATTGGTTCCGTTTTCAAAGATTAACTCATGTCAAACAGAAGCTTCTCCTGTGAAAGATGAACTTTCTGTTCAAATCATTTTCTCAGTCAGATGCAAGAGCTCTGGCTTCCAGATCCCACAGTGATCACTAAAAAGCCTTTACTTTCCCCCCTTCGACGTGTTAGAATTCCAGGTCTCTACGTCTGTGAGTATGAATCTCTGACTTGACTCGAGCAGGCTGCATCTTTTCCTAGTTGAACTTGATACAAGACATTTCTAAAGGGGCATCGTTCACTGCCGTCAGTCCGCTGTCCCTGTGTCCTCCTCACAGGAAACGCCACTCCCTCAAAAGCACAGCCCGTGACAAAAACCACACAGCAGAGCTCTGAGATTTGTTACTTAAGAAACGCTGTCAAGGACCAGAGAAGGTGTGACAGACATCACAGAAGGGACACTTGGAATCCAGTGTGAGACTTCAGGAGACAGACCTGAGTCAGTCTGAGAAAGGACTTCCGAACACCAGGTGTGACTCTGTAGAAGGGCACTTGCCTAATATGCACAAGGCCCTGGGTTCGCACCCCCAGAAGGAAAGAAGGGAGGAAGGGAGGTAGGCCTTCCTAAGTCAGTGTCATCTCAGATCACGTGGGCAGCCAGGAGATAGGAATAACTTGTTCTCCATAGATTTCCAGAGTTGTTGGTTTGACCATGCAATTGCAGCTGCGCACGGGCCTTAGCTGACATTCCTGGGCCTGCCCCTGCAGAGGATGATTTAGAGGATCCGAGGACCCCTGAGGAGTCTGGGAATGAAAAATCTGTATTGTCAACAAATGTCCAGGTGGGTTGAATTCCCCCTCAAGGTAGCTTCATAACCCTTGGTTTGTACATTTCTTCTCTCATTCTCTGACATGAGAGACTGTCGTCACAATAACAGAGAGGTGTGGCCGACACAGGGTTGGCCTGAGGATTGGGAGCCCACTGGCTGGTGGGTGGTGCCTTCAGGCCAGTTTTAGAGGACAAGATTCTCTTTAGAAAGAATTACACATTTGATTTAGCCCAATGTTTTAAACTATTAGTTTAGTATGTAATCCATATATAAATAATATGATACTTGATGTCCTTTTTAATTTACTGTCTTTTCGTTTGCTGGGGTACATGTCAACCGGTCTTGCAGCTATGGCATAATGACAGCTTGATGACAGGGAGCTTCCGTCTCACAAAGCCCTGGGGGCGGGGCGGGACTTGCCGATATTTTTGTGCTGGAATTGACAGAAAATTGTGTTTTCCCATTTCTTTTTATGCTGATTTTTGTTTATGATTGGATTTGGGGATGAATGTTATGAACTCTTATAAATTTACCCCAGAATAGTTAACACGATTGAATTTAAGCATTTCAGGAAGGTTAACACACAGTGCCCTAGAGAAACCTCCTGGGCCTGGTGTTTCTCTTTGGGGAAGGATTTGACGTTCAGCTTTGTCATAGTTGTTTGGTGCGCGCATGTGCGCGCGTGTGTGTGTGTGTGTGTGTGTGTGTGTGTGTGTCTTTTGAAACACAGTCTTGCATAGCCCAGGTTAGCCCTAAAGTCTTGCTCTTCTTGCTTCTGTCTCCCACTACTGGGATTACAGGATGCACCACCGCACTCGGCCATGACTCCTCGTTTTGTTTAAGAATCATACCAAGGTTTTTAAAATTTTGTCTTCTAGAATGAATGTTAAGAAGTATATTTTCTATGAACTTATTTCCCCAAAAATGTTGCATTTAATTAGCCTAGGTATGTTGTTTGTAATATTGTCTTTCCTTTGAATGACTACAGAATTTGAGGCTGACTTGAGGGTATGTGTGCCACTGACAGACCTCTCCTGTCACTGGGCCCCTCTTACCACACTGCCCGGATCTGTCTGTATTTGAGGTATTTTTTTTTCCCCTTTAGAGGGATAGTTTTAAACTCTATTGCTACTTGAGAAATGCTGCGGAGGACCAAAAAGAAGACTTGAGAGATATCAGAACCGAGGGTGACACCTCAGGAGACAGACTTGACTCATTCTGGGAAAGGACGTCCTTGGGTGGGAGTGGCTCTGTAGAGGAGCATTTGCTTAGCACGTCGTTTTGTTTCATTTGCTGAATGAAACATCAGATAAAACTCAGATAAAAGCATCAGATAAAAGCATCAGATAAAACTCAGGGTGAAGGGAGGCTTCCCCACTACAGTGTGTCTGGTGAAGGGAGGCTTCCCCACTACAGTGTGTCTGGTGAAGGGAGGCTTTCCCCACTACTATAGTGTGTCTGCGTCCCTGTTTGAACTTCTAGTGTCACCTCCTCCTGGACTCCTTCCCGTCTCTCTGCCAATCCTTGATGCTCCACTCGACCGGGGCCTTCATTCTGTCCCACAGCTGGGGCACTCCGCACCCCCAGGTGACTGATGCAGCTCCTCATAGTCATAGAATCTAAACACGCTAGAGTCTCAACAAGTACTTGTTAAATAAACTGATGACTAGTCTCTCAACTTCTGGCTACTCCTAGTAATGACTATCATAGATAGATAGATAGATAGATAGATAGATAGATAGATAGATAGATAGATAGATGATTGATAGATAGGTAGATACGATATGATAAATGATGTGATATGATATGATATATATCTCCTACCGGCACAGAAAATATAAAATAAGACTGTAAGGATAGGGATGTGTACTCTGAAAATTCCCAGGAGGGACATACCATCAAACAAAGATGCTCTCAAACTGCCAGACTGTACCAAAAATCTCAAGAGCCAATAGGACAGCGTCTCAATTGACAAAGATGGATGATGCCCACATCCCTGAGTCATAGATACAGCCCATTAAAACATATGTCCCTCAGCTTATACTACTAATGAACTTAAAAGCCTCATTAATCACCTTTATTCCAGTAACTACTAACTCACATTGGAAATGCAAATAAATGAAAGAATTCAGCATCTTACCCACTTTTCCTGTGCTGAGCATACCTCAGGGTAACCAAATATTTAAGGAGGATACATTTTACTGTGTGCATTCCTACTGATGGATTGAGAATGGCTGGAGCTGGGGAGTAGCTCTGTGGTAGAGCACCGACTTAGTATCCACAAGGTCCTGGGTTTAATTCCCCAACACAAAGCAAGCAAATAAAAAAGGAACCATGGTTGGCCTAAGGTCAGCAAAGTGCTTGCCAAGAGGAACTGATTTTAATTCCCAAGACCCATCGAAAATCCAGGTGTGCAAGAGGTGCACACCTGCAACTCCAGCACTAGGGGACAGAGACAAGAGGGTCCTGGGGGCTCCCCGGCCAGCTAATTTAGCCAAATCATGGATCTCCAGGTTCAGTGATGGACACTGTCTCACAAAATAAGAAGAACAAAGATGAAGAAGGCAAGTGATGTCGACCCCTGGCTCTACACACATGTACAGATAGATGCACGTATACCTGACACACACACACGTGCATAAACATGCACAGCACACACATGTACACACACACACACACACACACACACACACACACACACACACACAACACTGGAAGTTCAAACAGTTGGAACACCCCCCGAGCTCACATACCTGCAGCCTCCTTACACTCAGAGATGTCTCCAAGCCAGGGTTCCGACCTCGCTGGGGACCTGTATGTCTCTTTTTCACACCTGTACGCATCATTTAGCCTCCACACAGAAATGCAAGAGAAAACATTTTCTGTCTAAATTGCCACATGGTCAGGCATCTTCCTGTGACTCCCCCCAAAAGTCCTGAGGGATGAGGGACATGTTCAGATTTCATGTACATTTCCCAATCAGCTCCAGTGATGTAAGAGAAGTGGAGTTATTTGGGGGAACTATTCAGGTGAGGGGGAAAAAAAAGTCAGCAAAACCCCAAACGCTGTATGACTTCTCTGAGAAACCAAAATGAAAAGGCAGTTTTTCCCCAAAAGACATCATTTGAGGATCATTTGAGATATTCATGTGTTATGGAGAAAGGCAGCCCTGAGCACTGATCAGGCAGGAGCCACAGAGCAGCCTCAGCTTGGCTGGCTGACCACCATGCAAGGCCATTTCCTAAGGGTGGACAAGCCAGAATTCTAGTTAGGAAAGTGCATTCCAAGTCAGAGTGCTGGAGAGTGACAGAGAGGAGGTGACATTTGCACCTGAACAACTCACAATGCAGAAAGTCAAAGGCCAAGGAAGGGCTAGAGGTGGCCTATCTGTACCAGCGACACATGAGCTCCCTCCTGCCCACCTGGGGGAGCACCTTTTCACCAGGAAGACGAGGTGCGGATGGGCAGTTTGATGGAGGCCTGGTCCTCCACAGGCCCTGGCTCTCTTCCCTTCTACCTCCTTTCAAAGGATTTGGGGACAGAGTGGCAGATGTCCTTATGACATTGAATGTCCTATCTGTACAGAGCCTTCTGGGCAGCTTAATGTGCTCCCTTTAAGGCTGAGTTGTGGTTTTGGCAAATCTGGTTACCTTTTACCTCCACATCTGACTCAGCTCTTAGAGCCATGAGAAACAATGGCTGACTAAGCCTCCTAGCCTGTGGTCTGCATTACTCGGAGCCAGGCAGCAGGTGAAAGTCACAACCACAAGTTTCTTGGGGTTGGGGGTGTGGCTCAGTGATAGAACCCTTTGCCTAGCATGCATGGTATCCCAAGTTTGAACCCCAGAGCCACCAAACTTGCTTTCCTGTTAGTTTTATCTTGCGCTGTCGGCCCTGAAAAGCGACACTGACGGGGATGGTGTGGAACCCTGCTTGGAGCTTCGTCCCCTCAACTGCCAACGAGAGATGAGAAGGACCCACAGCCCTCTCCAAAGTCACCCCGACCGCATGGGGAGGCACAGATAGTGTCTCCAGCAGTGTTGTTAGCAGGGTGGGAAAGGCCAGACTCACACCACACAACATGTAAAACCACGAGGGGCTAGATGCTGCTGAGGCCATTCCCGTGCTCCTGCGGCCCTTAACTGTATCACTCTGCCCACCCACAGCTGCTATCTACGGGACTTGTATCATAAGCCCCAGACACTGCGGCAATTATATTATCATCTCACTTCAACATAAGACACCAAGACCCCAGCAAGAAAGGGCCGGGAGGGTTGGGCAACCTGCTCAGAGCTAGCTACCTGCTGCAGAGGGCAGGCAGTCTGGCCCCAGAGCCCAGGCTTCTAACCTCTGTGTTCTGTGACTTCTCCAAGCCAGCCACCAGCCAGAGGTGTGTGACACCGATCTTCAAGTCCAGGCTACAGTGTTCTCGTGTACCATTGGCTGTGGCATGTTTCCCGCTCTTTGGAAGGGGACCATCTCTTCACTCTCTCAGGGAATCTGTTCTCAGGCTAATCCACCCTCTCGTCAGAATTCATGACTGTGTGAATGCAGAATGTGTCTTGAGGCAAACATCAGACCCTGAGACTAGTCCGACCCCAACATGTCCCCATCGTCGAAGTCCCATTGATTGGAGCTCTTGTTTGTAATAAAGAATCACATTCTGCCTCGTCGGTCTCCCTCTAATCTTCCTGCTCTACTCCCCAACTCTCCTGGTGCCTCCAGGTTGCTTCTGCTCAGGCTCCTCCTTCCCACTTCAGCCTGTAGCCAGTGTTTGCCTATGTGTGCCTTCCCAGAGCAGAACACTGCCTACGTTCTCCTTGTCCATATCCCAGAGAGGCCTGCCAGCCCTCCAACACTGAGTGGACCTTCAGCAACCACACACCATGGAACTCCAGTGCATTCCCTGGCCAGCGATCTCTGTACTAGGTAGTTTGTGTATCTAGTCATTTATCTTGGTTTCCTATCTCCCTCACTGTTGTGTGAAAGGCTTTTCCTGGAGAAGCTACAATGCACATGCCTATTCACCCCAGAAAAGGAGCCCACTTCAGACCAAAGTAATGATTGCACTGAAGCCCAACCTGAGTTTGAATTGTAGTCACTAGCAGGAGGAAGGGTGAGGGGTCCCTTACAGGAGCAGGGATGACTCAACAGCAGCTGCACCACCCCCAAAGTCCCCACCGCCAACATGGGAGATCTCTCATGAAAACTGCATCCCTGGATTTTTTTTTACAACCTAGAGGCAGCTCAACAGGTCCAAGAAACTCTCTGCAGCTGGTCCCCACTTACTGCTTCCATGACCTTGGAGAAGGGCTGTAAATTTTTTTTTCTTCGTCTTTTTGAGACAGGGTTTCTCTGTGTAGCTTTGCAGCCTTTCCTGGAACTCACTCTGTAGCCCAGGCTGGCCTCAAACTCACAGAGATCCGCCTGCCTCTGCCTCCTGAGTGCTGGGATTAAAGGTAGGTGCCCCCACCACCCAGTCAATTTCATCTTTCTTGAGCATTAAAGTCTGTTTACTTCCTTATTGAACTTCTCCTCTCCCCCCCCCATCCTGTTTAATTTGAAGGATACTGCTCTAAAACTCTACCTAGAATACAATAAGCTTCCTGAAGGTGGGGTGCAGGAACTAGAATAAATAAATGGTGATGGTAGTGTTAAAGATACTGTGATGGTGGTGATGCTAAGGAGGATGGTGGTGATGCTCAGGAGGATGGTGGTGATGCTGAGGAGGATGGTGGTGATGCTGAGGATGGTGGTGATGCTCAGGATGGTGGTGATGCTCAGGATGGTGGTGATGCTCAGGAGGATGGTGGTGATGCTGGGGGGGGAATGGTGGTGGTGGTATTTAGACAGTGGTAGTGGTGCTAGCAGAAGTGATTGATAGTGATGATGGTGTTTGTGGTGGTATTGAGACGGTAGTGGTGCGTTAGTAAGTTAGATGTTCAGTAAGATCTTGGGTGGGACCCCAGTACTCTGAACTTAGAACATCTATTGTATGTCAAGATACTTGGGCTCTTCACTGCATACAACTGACCCCATCTACACATGGTTTCATTAGTTTATAAACACTGAGGTCTATCACACACATGAAGCAAGCCATGGGAGGGTGCTGGAGGTCATGTCCTTCAAACTTTGGTCTTGAGTGATAGGAAGTCCCAGAGTAGGGAGAGACTCAACATTAACAGCACCCAGGTTTTTAGTATAAGCATAATATATGCTTGTGGTGAAAGAATACAAAGGAAAAAATACACACACACTTAGAACCATCCAGAAATAAGCAATGTTATCATTTTGAGGCCTTTCCTCCTAGGTGTTTTTTTTATGAAAATCTCTGTGTATAAACAGGTTCCTCTCGGAGACATAAGATGAAGGCAAACTGGCAAGTTGAGCACAAGATCCGGCCACACCACCCATCCAACTCCTCAGCAGAGAGGCGCCTTCCAAGTACACCAGAGAGGGTGGCTATGAGGGGCCACCATCCAGAATGCACTTGGTCTACATCTCCGACTCCTCCCTCCACCCTTTCGTTTACTCTTTCTTGTGTGTGTGTGTGTGTGTGTGTGTGTGTGTGTGTGTGTGTGTGTGTGTGTGTGTGTTCATACCACAGAACACAGTGTGCATGTGGAGGTCAGAGAAGAGTTTGTGGGAATCAGTTCCCTCCTTCCCCCTTGTGGGTCCCTGGGATCAAAGTCAGGCTGGCAGACTTGGCAGTAAGAGCCTATAAGCTGCGGAGCCATTACACAGGCCCTTGCTTTGCTTGTATCTACGCAATCAGTCTTTAGCCGTCTGCCTGCTCTGCTGACTGATTTGTCTGTTTATGTTTACATTCTTTACTACAATGTAAGGTCTACATGGACAGTTTTCTTTCCTTTTTATTTTTCTTGCCTGCTTTATTCTTTGCTCCATCTTCAACATTTGAAGTGGATCTTGACATATGGCATATTCAATAACTGTTAAGTGAATCCACTAAAAATTAATAAATTTCAAACACATAAAATTAATAAATTTCAAACAAATTGTGATGGCTGATATGACAGTCTTGGACATTCATGTGGCCACCTCAGCTGGATGCAAAGCCACTAGCTCCATCACTGTGTATGACAGGACAATGCAGTCACTGTTAAACACAGGGTACAAAGCAAGGCCATGCCAAAAACTAGCCTAGTGGTGAAGGTGGCCACAACACAGGAGGGCTGCTCCCACTAAGATAGGTGGAGCAGACCTGCATCAGACCTTTGGGCCCATCTGAAGGTACAGATGGACTCTTCAAGGTCCTTGACGCTCATTCAGCAGACAGAGTAGTTCTCTCAGCTCCATGATCCCCCTATCCCAGGTTCCTGAGTGCTGGGATTACAGACATGTGGCTTTTAGAACAGAAATAAAAGAGGTATGCATGGTGATAACACCTATTATCACAGTTTCTGGAGGCTGAGGCAGAAGGATCAAGAGGTCAAGGTCAGCTTAGCTGTGTAGGACCTGGTCTCAAAACAGTTATAGAAATCTTTTGATCCTCCGGCAAAAGCTGAGCAGTAATTGTAGGCATTCTGTGTTAGCATCCCTAACAGGGCGATTGTATGGCCTTGGTACACACAGACACTGTGGGTGCTCTGGGAGACACTGGGTTCAGAGAGCAGAAAATGAGGAATTGAGTACATTCATCATGCTGATGCAGATTTATGACTTTGCAACCCCGACAAAATGATTCAGAAACTAGTCAGGATGGTGTCTTATTGGGCAGGTCCTTCTAATTCCCTATTTTTTTTTTTTCACAATAGTAATTTGAAATACAGAAATCCATCAATGAAGGCCCAACAATATTACCTGGTCATTACAGTCCCCTGTTACAACGTGGCAAGGGGAACACTTAGTTTAATCCCAAACCAGATCTCAGTCTACTTGTGAAAAAACATCAGACAACCAGAGACTGGAATTCTTCAGAAATGTCAAGGCTGTGAGATGCAAAGCCAGACAGAGGAGCCTGGGCAGGCAGGAAACAATGTGTGAAGTGGCATCCTCTCCTTTGCAGCTTTGGACCCAATAGCCCAGGTGGAGGAAAGGGTATCCACTGACCCATCAGAGCAAGCAGGCTCTTTCACAGCAGTCCCCAGCCTGCCAAACTGGGAGCAGAATACCCTCCCCCGTGACAGTTCCTCTAACAGATGTGGTTCGTGGGGTCTGTGTGAAGCTGGGTTCACAATCTCCCCCGTAGCTCCATGTCTGACCAAACTCTGACTCCTGCCAGCTGCTTCCAGAACCATCTTCCTCAAGCGGGGTCTATGCTCCCTACTATTTGTTCTCAAGTTTGAACTAGTTGCTATTTCAGTTCTGAGGTGAGGGTCAGCATTTGTATACCTTATCAGTTCCTCACTATACGTTGTGATGGCTACCAGACCACAAAACCTTTCTGCTGCCATATCAGGTCCTTCCAGTAGCCATAGGATTGATTCTAGGATCTGAATGGGTACCAAAATCCACAGATGTTCAAGTCCCCTATATAAAATGGCCCCACATTTGCAGAGAACCCACACACATCCTTCTGCATACTGTAAGCCGTCCCTAGATGATTCATAATAGCTAATACAATGTAACTGCTGTGGAAATGGCTGCCACGCTCCACAGCTGTGACCATGGTGAGGGGAAACATTCGTACATGTTGCTTTTCAGAACTTTCTAGAATTCTTTTCCCAATATTTTTGATCTCCATTTGGCCGAATTCCTTAGATTCTGAACCTGTAGCTATTTCCGAACGTGCCTGACATTCGCCCAGGAAGACACAACAATGAAAATAGGAAAATATAATTTAGACATACAATAAAAACCAATATTTCCAAGTTGGTGCCACCTTCTGTCCCCTTGCCCTAGCAGTGCTGCCCAGAACAAGTGAGCACCCCTGCCTGGCACGCCTAGGCCTCACTCATGTAGTCTCAGGCCCAGCAACCTACGTGCCCAGCCCTTCCAGGACTCTTGTGGCTCATCAACACCAAGAGCCGGGCAGATCATGAGTGGTAGCCACGCTGAACTAGGTCCCCCTCATGTGGGTGTCCAGGCAAGGTCTGGGGGCTGCACGGCCTTCTGGACTCAGGGAGGATGCAGGCAGCTCGGGGGACAAAGCTGTGACTCTGTAACAGCACTGGGAAGTGCCTTGAAGGGAGGGTGGAGGAGCCTCAGCTGAGGAGACGCCAAGGCCCTGCTGTTGGTGAAGCAATGAGCTCAGAAAAAGATGGAGTCACCAGAGCTGAAGATCTATCTGGAACTCCATCAGGCAAAGACAAAGAGGAGGCCTTTCAGGGTTCAACACTTCCTTTCCATCCTGTCTTCCCGGCGAAGTTTTCAAACACGGGACATCTCCTGCCCTGCCTCTCACTTTCTGACCCTGCACTCTTCCCAGCCGTGACAGGCAGCTCCTGCTTGCAGGCATCCCCAGTCCACTGCCCCATAGCCTCATATCCTCACTGCAGGCTTGCATCCAGTCTGGTCCTTTCTGCTGTCAGAGTGAACTTGTGAGACCCTGACCTGATCCAGTGCTGGGAGAGAGAGGTCTAACCACTGGTCCGGGGGTTCATCCTGATCAGGTTGGTTGGGGCCTCTCTGCAGAGTACTCTCCTGGCCACAGTGAGCTGAACCATTCTAAGCATAGCCTGTTTGGACCCCATGCTCTTCCTCTGCTGGCAGGCACTGGCTGACTCCTGTGATCCACTCAGGCTCACAGCCCACCTCCTTGAGGCTTCCCTTGCAGGGCCTCTCAGTGTTACCATGTTCCTCCATGGACATGAGCCTCGGGGCATGGAACCTGCTGCGCGGTCACTTTGATTCATGGTAACCCCAGATCTTTAGCCATTCGGTGTGGGCTGAGAACACGGGGGTGCGCTGATTAAGACTCACAAGCTAGCGAAATGACCTAATCAAACTCACTGCTCTCCACACCACAACGGCCTCCACCCTGAGGAAATGCGGCTCCCTACCTCATGACACTGAGACTCCCACCACCCAAAACCGCAAGGCCAGTACCTTGTCAGAGCTGTTGGGAAGCCCCGTAATGGTACCCAGCAATCCGAGTTGCCACGGAGAGATGCACACACTGGTGTCCTCGGAGTGCCCTGGAAGCTTGTGCCAGCAACAGACTTCATGTTGAAGGAGGTTCTAGACATGACTGTTCAAACTGGTATCTTTTCTGCAGAACTCTACACCATTTCATTTACTGCAGCAGACATGGCTGGGCAGCCCACAATGCTCCTTAAACATACCTGGCCAGAGGACCCCAGGGCACAACTGAACTAGCTTGGGAAAGCACTGGCCCAAACTGGAGGACTGTTTGCACATTTATTTAGTGTGTGTGTGTGTGTGTGTGTGTGTGTGTGTGTGTGTGTGTGTGTGTATAGAAAATGCCTGTCCTCATGGAATCAAAACTTTTAATCAGAATATTTTTTATTCAAACTGAAGGTGATTGCTTCATAATGCAGGGTCACAGGACACTCAGAGTGGGATTAGAAAATGATTACAAAAATTCTTTTGAAGTGGATTAAGATAACAGGAAATTGCAATCATCGCCTGGAAATGCCTGTGTAATCACACTGGAAAGAAGAGGTGAAGATCTTCAGCCTGTTTGCCCAGGGGCAGGAAACCCACACCTCAGAGCCCAAGCGGTGCTCTGATAGCCCAGTGCAGGGTCAGGCGGGAGTGACCAGAAGACACTTGGTGTCCACAGCTGCTCACAGTGAAACACAGAGGAGCAGACCTGGTCTTCAGGCCGGCTTCCTGGGTTTCTCGGTGCTGCACAGGGATTGGATCTTCTCATCTTGCCAAACAGAGCTTCCCAGGAAGGAGTGATGGAGGAATTTACTGGGGCTGCACCTGGTTCTTCAGCTGGGCCAGTTTCATGAGACAGTCATCTCTCCACTGCCTTCTGGCAGCTAAGTGTTCGGGGTCATCAGGAACCTTCATGCACATGTCCTGGGAGAAGGACGGGGGAAGAAAAACAGAGAACACACTCAGAGGAAATAATCTGCCAGGAGTCTCTCCTATTTATGCCAGCTGTGTGTATTCAGCTTCCAAAGACACAGAAGCGCAAACCCCACAGCTAGTTAATACAAACTCCAGCTCTCCAGAGATCCCCAAGACAAGTCACAATGAGCCGCTGGCCACCATCACCTTAAGGTATCCTGGAGACCAGGATGCAACTATGGGCAGTCAGGAAGAAGCGGCCATCTGAACCAAGGGTCAAGACTGCAGCTACTGACAAAGCTCCACCCGCAGATGGCACAGGAGGGAGATGGCCAGTACGTGCCAGCTTGCATGCCCCTGGGTAGTCCACATACCTGGTTAACTTTCTCCACTGTGGTCCCTGAGAACTCTGGAACAGGACCAAAAGTTTTGAGGACACGCTTCATTCCATCACTGTATCTGTCACAGTAGCTTACCACACCTGAAATGGCGTAAAAACAGGAACTCACAGATCAGCACCACATTCTGTAACTCCAAACTGAGACCCCATACAGAAGGAAAAAAGAATCTACAGAAACAAGGTGGAAGGTGAGCAACCTGCTGGCCGGGGCACGCAGAACCCTATCCTAGCTTTCTGGAAACGAAAATCCTGAAGAGCACTGGGTTCCTTAGGCCTGCCATGTGTCCCACATCAGGGCATCTCGGGGGCCCTTGGTCAGTGCATCTCGGGGGTCCTCGGTCAGTGCATCTCGGGGGCCCCCGGTCAGTGCATCTCGGGGGTCCTCGGTCAGTGCATCTCGGGGGTCCTCGGTCAGTGCATCTCGGGGGTCCTCGGTCAGTGCATCTCGGGGGCCCCTGGTCAGTGCATCTCCCCTTCATTTCTCTTTTTCCCTTGCCTCCCACCTTCTTTTTTTTTTTTTCTTGCTGATACAAGAGCTCGTGTAGCCCAGGCTACATAGATGACCTGGAATGTCTGGTCCCACATCCACTACTGAAGTGCTGGGATTATAGGCATGTGCTACCACTCCTGCTTTCTGTGGAGCTGGGGATCCAACCAAAGGTTCCATGAATGCTAACTAAGTACATCTCCAGGCTCCTCTCCTTCCCCGACCCTCCTTTTTAGCGACAGAGTTTCACTCCATAGCCCACAATGGCCTTAAACTCAGGACAATCCTCTTGCCTCAGCCTCCCAAGTGCTGCCACCACAGGCATGAGTTATCATGAATGGCTTCAATTCATTCTTCAAGAACCCAGATGTCAAAACTCCAGTCACTTCCTCCTTATCACACACTTGAGCCTCAAGGTCAGGTTATGCCTTATCTGGTATTTACGAGGTGGTAAGACCTGCTCCAGGGCTGTATTTATCACTCGCTACACTTCCATCAGGAGGGCTGGAGCCAGGCCTGCAGCCCTGTGCATAGGCTGTCCCAGCCCTGCCCGGCTGACCAATTTCTCCACTGCAGGGTTTTGGTGGAGAAATGAGTGAGGAGGAGGAGGGGGGGCACAGTCAGTACAGTAGCTGCAGGGCCGTGTGGGCTGAAGCCAAGGTTAGACGCAGAACCCCGTGAGCTCTGCCTGGTCTAGCCTGGGTACTGTGGTATTGTGTTCCCCCAAATATTATGCATGCTAATAAACTTATCTGGGGTCAGAGACAGAGCAGCCACAATATTAAACATAAAGGATAGGCAGTGGTAGCACACGCCTTTAATCCTAGCATTCCAGAGGCAGAAATCCATGTGTTCAAGGATACAGCCAAGCATGGTGACTCACACCTTTAATCCCAGAAAGCAAGCCTTTAATCTCAGGGAGTGGTGGTAGAAAGCAGAAAGGTATATAAGGTGTGAGGACCAGAAACTAGAAGCATTTGGCTAGTTAAGCATTCAGGCTTTTGAGTAGCAATTCAGCTGAGACCCATTCTGGATGAGGACTCAGAGGCCTCCAGTCTGAGGAGACAAGACCAGCTGAGGATCCGGCGAGGTGAGGTAGCTGTGGCTTGTTCTGTCTCTCTGATCTACCAGCATTGACCCCAATAACTGGCCTCGGGTTTGATTTTATTAATAAGAACTTTTAAGATTCATGCTACAGGGTACCTTTCTGAAGAGTAGCCACCTGCTCCAGGGCACTCAATTCCCTCCTCTTCCCCTATATGCTGAGCCTTGGAGCTGCAAGAGTAGGCACAGGTTACAGACAAGATAAGCCAGAAGCCAGGTCTAGGATCCCAGAGGCCAACGTGTCTGTAAGTCCTGGCTATGCTGACTCTGGCACATTTTTCCCCTTTTGTAATGCTGGATATGAGTTGTACCACTGAGCTATCCCTCAGGCCCATGTTCAGCCTTCCAGAGCCACAAAGTCTCAGCAGTGGGTCACTGGAACACAAATAAAATTGCAGAATTTGCACAGCCCCCAAAGCTTGCTCTCATCTACCCCATGAAGACTGTACGCCAAAGAGTCTTTGAAAAAAAGAAAATGTTTAGAAATGTGTGTGTGTGTGTGTTGAGACTGTGTCTCATGTAGCTCAGGCTGGCCTCAAACCCACCTTGTAGCCAATGCTGGCTTTGAACACAGTCCTTCCTATTTCTACTTCCAAAATGCTGGAATTGCAGGCAGGCACCCTCCACACCCAGCTCGAGAAACTGTTTTGAAGGGTAAAATATTAAAGCCAACAAAAAATTCTGTCATCAACACCTGCAGTTAACCAGTGGCTGGTTTTTTAAAGAGAGAGCTCACTGCATTCAGGCTAGCTCTCGGCAGTCCAGAACTCTGCAAGCTCCTGTAAATGTCCCAGCCATGTTCAGTCTTCTCAGGTGGTTTAGAATTGCCAGAGACCAGAAAACCAGGTAAATACATCTTTCCCTTAAGAAATCAAGCCTTTGTTCTACTTTTCCTATCTGTTCATTTATTCACACTAACAATAATAAAATCTAGACACAACTACAATGTATTCATTTGGAGTTGGGGGGCAAGAGACACAGAATTGAATATATTTGAACGATGTTAAATGATGACAAGTTAGTCAGCTTCCATCATTATGACAAAATTCCTAAGATGTGTCAGGAAGGTGGTGGGACCTGCATCAGGCTGTGCTCATCACTCATCTGCACTGCCATCAGGAGTGCTGGAGCCAGACTGCCTGAACCACACCGTGCACGAACTCTCCAAGCCGTGCTGGCCCAGCTCAGCCAAGCTGATGGATTTCTCCATCGCTTTGGGCTTGCAGCAAGCAGAGCATCATGGCGGGGAACACATACATGATGGAGAAAAGCTACTCACCTCATGATGACCAGGATACAGAAAGAACGAGGCCAGCCTCCCAATAGCCCATTCAAGGGCACACCCCCAGTGGTCTAACTTGTTTCTGAATGGGCCCCGCCTCTTTTAAAACAAATTTATTACGTGTGTGTGTGTGTGTGTGTGTGTGTGTGTGTGTGTGTGTGTGTGACACTGTGTGTGTGTGACACTGTGTGTGTAGGTCAGAGAACAACTTGTGGGAGCTGGTTCTCTCTTTCCACTATGTAAGTTCTGGGGGTCAAATTCAGGTCCTCAGGCTCGGTGGCCAGCCCCTTTACTCCTGAGCCACTGAGATGGCTCAGGATCCCATCTCTTAAAGGGCCCATGCTCCTTCCCAAATAGCACCATAGGCTGATCACCAGGTATTCCACACAGAGTCTTTGGGAGACGTTTAAGACCCAAACCATCACAGAAGAAAGTGAGAAAATTGATTGTAGCTGCATTTTGAACCAGCTTATAGGGAAAATGGAGCCCATGCCCCTCTCTGGAGCCAGCTCCATCTCCCCAGCCAATGGAAGCAGCGATCTGAAGGGATGGGGTACACAGACCACATTTTATCTATGGGTCACTTTACATTCCTTCAACAAATGTTCATCTTCCACCATCCTGAAGTCATTCCAATCTCACAGAGACTTTCTAGAACTTTCTCTACTGCCTTTTATAAAACTCCTGAAAATTTAAAGGGATGTTTCTCTTATTTTGTAGATGTATTTATATTTTCATTTTATGTGTATGAGTGCTTTGCCTGCCCATATGTATGAATAAGCACTATGTGCATGCTTGGTGCCTGTGGAGTTTGGAAGAGGGCATGAGGAATGGTTGTGAGTGGCCATGTGGGTACTTCGGTACCCAATCCCATCTCTCTGATTTCCATGGGACATTTATTTCTTCAACATAGAATAAAATGTGATAAAGCTGTTTATAGTACAACTCATATCCCTCACCCTATGCAACAAAATTTGACTTCTCTATGTGAGAGAGACAGAGAAAAGAATGGAAATTTCCCCTAAAATATCAATTCTACCAGAAAGGGAAAAGCCCAGCCTTATCTGCCACCCCACTGGCTCACCACCACCCTTTCGTCCTTCCTCTGTGCTTTCGTGTGCCCTGTCCACGTGAGCTTGGCTCTTCCACAGCTCTTAAAAAGTTTGGCTCTGCAGAAGCTAAACCTAATTTTAAAAAAGATTTATTTATTCTTATTTCATGTATGTGGGTGTTTTGGCTTCACGTGTGTCTGTGCTGTGGTTGTGAGCCTCCATGTGGGTGCTTGTGTGTCTGTGCCGTGGTTGTGAGCCTCCATGTGGGTGCACCTGTGTCTGTGCTGTGGTTGTGAGCCTCCATGTGGGTGCTTGTGTGTCTGTGCCGTGGTTGTGAGCCTCCGGGTGGCTGCAGGGAGTGAAACTCGGACCCTCTGGAATAGCAGCCAGGGCTCCTAACTGCTGCTCTCAACTCTCTGGCCGTGAAGCTCCTTTCTCAAGAGATGCTCCTATGGACAACGACAGCACAAGAAGGAGTTGATTCCAGAAGATTGGAGTTAGCGTATCTTGTTGACTCCCAGCTCTCTGTGTGGGAGCCCTTCAGGATAAAACAGGGGGTTTCCCTGAACCTCAACACCTCCACCAACAGGAAGCCCTCCTGTCTGTTGAATGTATGGGGCCACAGTCCACCATGCCATACCTGGCTGGCCACCCATACCTGACTCACACCCCTCCAAACTGGGCGTTCAGTTTTCTGGAGAACCCTCACTGTAACCTAGACCCAGCTCGTGAACCTACACCTACATGGATTCGCCTGATTTAGGAGAGTTCCACAGACTTAATGAAAACAAAGCGACAACGCTGAGTGTCCTCTAAGGACAGATGGTCAGGGCAGCAGGGCCCACTCCAGCACCAGGCCGTGTCTCTCAGCTCGGCTGCTCCCACCAGCAATGCTAGTTCAACAGCAGACTCCTGCCAAAAACCAGGTAAGTGTCTACACGACAAGAGGCCGGTAATCAACCAGTTCACCTGGAGGGCGACCCGGGGTTGCCAGACTCTGAGATACTGTCCTCCACGGAGACAGCAAAACACAAAGTCCCAAGAGCTGCCAGGGACAGGGCAGGACCCAGATTCTCAGCAGAGAAACCAGGCCTGGTTCTAGTGCTTCCTCAGCCGCACAATCAAAAAGGCCTCATCTGTATTTCCTGTTTCGCCCTCAGGCCTGGGTCAGTCTTTGGGGGAGAATTAAGAAAGCTTCAAACAAACAAACAAACAAACCCTGGAAGAGAAATAAATTAAACCCAACAAGCTGAATAAAGATAACATTTAAATGGTGGATGTGTAGCTCAATCTAGCGAGGCACAGGCTTGGAGTTCCATGCCCCAGCACCACCACCAAAGACAAAGAGAAAATAAACAAAAGGCTGTGTATTGAGCAAGCGGGTTGGTTTGTTTGTTTATTTTGTTGTTTGTTTGTTTTTTTGTAGGAGTGGGTTTTTAAGGAGAAAAATGGGGAGTCTGTGCTAGGGTGAGTTGGTAAATCCTGATTGCATGTGTTGGCTAAATAATGAATTTTGATTGCTGATCTTGATGCTTTGTCTCAGGAATGAGTCAGTGGCCAAATTAAAAGGGAATGGACCTGGGGGGGGGGGGGGCTCACTTTAGGCATGTAATCTAAAGGAGGGGAAGGGTAAAAGGCACAGCCTGTTGGCACCATGGTTGCCATGCCTGGGCCTGCCGAGCCCTTCCAAGTCCTTCACCTCCCGTGTGGTCTCTTTATTGCCCCTCCCCCACCAGGAAGCAGTTGTTACCCCACTGAACAGATGAGAAGACAGAGGGGCACTGAACAAGCAGCTGGTCCAAGCTTACGTAGCTAACAGATGGGAAAGCCGAGGTGGGGATCTGGCTGCCCTGCTGGCCAGAACCTCCATTCTGAGAGCGTAGATTTCACCAAGGCTGCTTTTAAAAAGTAGACGAGAAGGCAAACTTTGTACCCTACTCTGCCCTTTTCCTATTTAATTAGAATCTAAAAACAAAAAATCCTCCCTTCCCCTGACAGCTTCCCAAAGCACCTCTGCCAGGAGGCCTTCCCACTTCTCTGAGTTTCTCAGCAAATGGTAACTTTTTTCTTTTCTTTTTCTTTCAGATACTAGCCAAAGCCTTCAAACACTTTCCCTGGAACTCTGGGAATTCTTCCTCATTCTCTGAAGCTTCTGCCACCTTCTGCCAAGCAGCTGCTTCCAGCCTCCGCTGCTGAGGCTTCCGGCTTTCCCAGACCCAAACTCAAAAGGCACGGTCCTCCTCCTCTCCATCCCCTCCTCCCGGGGGCAGCTGACATTTACAGCTCACCTGCCCTGGGGTTTTCTCTCCAACTGGAATAAAATTATCTTCAAGCTTTAAAAATCAGTAAATAAACCTAAAGTACCTGCACTTGCTTGAGAAAAGATGGTAGCCTTTAAGACCAAAAACCCCCGCAAGTCCAAGACTGATGAGAACCACGTCAGCAAAACCAGGAAACTGCCTACCCTCTCCAATCTGGACATATTCTGGGTGACACCAGAAGAATAGGGCCGCTGGTTCCCAGCCAGATCTTATAACTTTCTAGCTCTGGGCTTTGGAATGCTCAGAAGTTGAAAACTACATCCGACCCCTATTATCATATTAAGCCAATTAAGCTTTCTTATCGTATCAGTTTTGTTTGAAAAATTGTTGTGGCCTCCTTCCTGTCTGCCACCCCACTGATCCTTGAGTGTCTGGTGTCACTGGCTTCTGTTTCTATTTGTTTGAGATTCAAAGCTCTTCTCAGTTCCCCCCTATCAATTTCCCACAATACCTTAACTATCTTAGTTCTCTCCAGAAAAGAGAAATATGGTAGTTTATCAGGCAGTGTCCACGTCCATTTCAAATGCTTGGCTGTGCTCCCCACTCTTAAGGTCTGGCTGAGAAGACATCTGAAATGATCCAAGACCATTCCGATGATACTTCAAAACTCTAATTTCACGTGTATGAAGGCGTCTTCTTGGTATTTTTTCTCATGTTCAATGGTTATCCTCTCGCACAAAGCATGGGAGTCTCCTTTCTTCCTCCGGCTGCTCTTAGCAAGGCTTGCCTTTAAGGAAGACTCAGTTATTGCACTATTATTGCAGGGCTTGTGTAGTGAGTCTGCTCCTCAGTCATACACTCATCTGCTATACGTACGTAATGCTGAGTCTGGGAAAACTGCCTTAAATGTTGGTTGGGAAGAACAGCTCATTAACTAAAACATCATAGGATCACAGGACAAAAGTCAGACTCTGAGAGGCCATCAGCTCCAACCCACCACACGATAGGAACTTCCTCTCAACATCTACCCATGGCCCTTTAGTTTACCCAGGACGTGAGCCCTCCCTCCCCAGGTCACTAGCACCAGTTACTAGAAAGTTCTTTCTGTCACGTCAGTCACATACTAAACACAACCTGTCTGCCTGCCGTTTCCAGTCTTTTGTTCTGGTTCCGCCCACTCAAAAAACAGGCACACAGCAGGGTGTGGCAATGCACTCTTGTAATCCCAACACCAGGAAAGCTGAGGCAGGAGGATATTTACTTGATGTTTGAGACCAGCCTGGGTTACATAGTAAGTATCAGGAGAGCTGGAATTAGAGTGGAACCTGTCTCCAAACAAAACAAAGTGATGGGAACACATTTGTACCCCTCTGGCTTCACCCCACTCCCCATCCCCCACCCCCCACCCCTGGGAAATCTCCTTCCTTAATATCTCTTGTGAAATAGAGTCTTGACCTACAGATAACATTCCTTTTCTCTTTCTGTCTCCTTTACCACTTAATGAGGACTCAGTTAAAGTAACCTACAGTAATTGTATAAGTTTACAGCAGCAGAGCAGTAAAAAAGATAATAAACATTACCTGGGGCTCAGAGGAGGAGCGCTCACCTCTCAGGCAGAAAGCACTAGGTTTGACCCCCAGCAACACACACACACACACACACACACACACACACACACACACACACACACACACACACAGGAAAAGCAAAAACCATAAACACCATTTCCTATTGTGACAGATATGGCTCGGGCCTATGATTCCAGCATGAAGCAGGAGAATCATGCATCTGTGGCTAGCCAGAGCTATGTAGTGAGACTTCACCCAGGACCAAAAAAAAAGTTACTATTATTTAAATGCCAAGAGATAGCTAACGTGTAGGCAGCATCTTTTCAGACTTCGGTACATCACTGCATTGATGTGTTCTGATTTAGTATGGGTTTCAACAGTTGGTCATCTTTGCATCATTTAAAAATCCGCTTCACTCTCATCCTTTCAAGTTATTTTTCTTTGGAACTAACCAGGTCATGCTGACTTGCCCACGCCTCTGAAGTCAGCTTCTGGACAGTGGTCTGGCCTGGCACACCTTGCCAGGCCTCTCCTGTAAAGCACCTGCCTTGTGAGCCCCGACCTTTGGGAAGCACACACCCACAGGCACTCGTGAGTGGGCAGAAGATAACTCCAGAAGCATCACTGGGGACGCCGTGGCACTGCCGTCTCTTGCCTGGCTCTCCCTCTTGCTCCTCTCTCTCATCAAGCGACAAGCTACACAGCAGCCCCATCACAGCACTTCCCTTTCTTCCTTTTGGATTCCATCAAGGACGCCTCACATCCAGACCCCTGAGCTTCACAGACCCCGTGGGGACTTATGTACCAGTCCACAGTACTCTGTGCCTCAGCCCTGTCTGAGTTACTAGGGTTGATGGAGTCCTTCTAGACACTGCCATTATCACGCTGCTTAAAAAGAAACAGCACAGGCTGGCAGACAGGAAAGCTCACAGAAATACTCAATACCACAGAACACCATCTCTGTCCCAGGCATACCTTCAGCATTGAGGTGCATAGTCTCCAAGGGTCCAATGAACGCGTACCGCATGCCCAGCCCATCTGACATGACCAGGTCCAGGTCGTTAGGAGACACTATTCCTTCCTACATGAGGAGAAGGCGGTAATACACAGTTGAGTTCTTTAGAAAGGCAATTTTGCTAACACTGCTTGTCCTAACTTCTTGTAGGCAGTATCGCCCCCCCCCAAAAAAAACCACTTTTTTATGCACTGTAATATTTTAATGGAATTGTTTTTACAACCAAACTATCCTATATGTGTGAGTCCTGAAAAAAGAGTTTCATGGCACAAATACTGCAATCAGTCTGTACCCCTTCTCCTCTTTACCATCCCCACGTATCACCTGCAGCTTTGGAGACAGGGAAGATAAAGTAGACCCAAGGAAAAGACCAGGGGGGTTTCTGGATATTTGATCAGGAGATGGGATGGTGTTTAAACACCCCAGAGAATGGGAAGTAGCTCTCAGGCTTCACCTGCCTGCAAGCCAAGCCTTGTTCAGCTTTTAATGAGTTTGTAGGAAATGCCATTCTTTGATGAAATACGGCTTAGGATGGGTTTGTTTGCAGAGGTGGGGCCCTAAAGTTTCTGCAAATGTGAAGTGCCAAGCAAGAGGAAAATTGTTACGTGCTGTGCTTAGAAAACCAGCCAATTTGTGTGCATGGCTTCAGGTGCGAGACCTAAGTCACCAGTGGTACATTCTGGCGACTCACTGCAGGTTCACACCCTGCTGAGGACCTCTGTACCCTGGGCATCTCAATTCTCAGGAGGGCAGAGAAACATTTCCCCCAAATTCCTGCTGGCTAGACTGGCAGCATTCTGTGGAACCTGCCACTCGGGGACTCTTTCCTGAGCAGTTTCTTCCAGAGAGGGTCCTGTGGGCTTGATATTTGTAAGGCCACTAACCATGCCATAAGTAACTCTGGAAGACCCCTGTCAGTCCTCACCTGGAGGACCCAGTTCCTGTATGGAGATACATCCATACACTGTCACCCTGTGCACATTGCTCCCAGTGACAAGCTCAGGCAAGCAACCCACCAGACATGTCACCTCAGTCTGACATCTTAAGAGGACAAACCTTGTCAGCCTGAAGGAGGGATCCCAGACATCATCATGGTCCTCAGGGTTCCTCTGGAAGGAACCCTTTGTCCTCCAGATGCCCCTGGGATTTGGGCATCAGAGGCTGAAGAGCCCCTGCTGGCCTGGTCAGCAGGCATTTTCCACTTCCCAGACTCCAAAGGTAATAAGACTTAGAACAGTTGGGAAAGTAGATTTGCAGTACCTACCACCTCTGCTACTTTACCCCAGTGAATGAAGAGACATGGGGAGTCTTGGGTCTGTGCGTGCTTGGACGACCCCAGTTCAATTGAGGGAGAGGATGGAGCTGCAGAACCAAGATGAAGACAGAGCCCACCACCCTGGAATGACAAGTCTAAGTCATATCTGACTAAGCAACTCAACTTCAGAGAATCACGTTCCATTGAGCCACAGCACATGAGACATGAATACAGAAAGACTGTATGCGCTCAAGATGCACACACAGTGCACAGAACCATGATAAAGCAAGGCCCTGGCACCAGCTCACTATCCTCCTAAAGACAGACACCCACCTTCTGTAATAACCATGCCCTGGCTTTTGAGACCGGCCCTTGGAGTTTGCTTTTCGCACACTTCTAATCGAGTAGTACGTAGTATGCATTCTCGTGCGACTTGATTCTGTTTCTCAATGTCATGGTTTTTAAGATATACACAGGGATGGGGTGGAGGCTCACCTTCTTAACATGTGCAAAGCCCTGGGTTCCATCCACAGAACTACAAAAATAAAAATAAATAAAGAGGTACCTATTCTATATGTGCCTAGAGTTTGTCCATTCTTGTTGATTCTAGTGTACAACTCCTATACATAGGGGGACAGAGAATATTTTGGAACACAACCCCAGCCTATGTCTGAGAACAACTGCTGGGACCATGTTCCATCTTCTGCATTATTCGGCAATGCTATGCTGCTCCCCAGAGCATTGCGTCATACCCATTCCCCCAGGCACCAGCACTGTATAAAGGAGTTTTCATCACTCACTGCCTTCCAAAGACAGGGTACCATGATGTATGCGGCACTCTGACCTGGTAGGGCACTGTGGAGTCACACTGGGTCTCTTGTTACCCCTAACCACCCTACCATGTGTTTATTTGGACTGCCCAGAAGAGCAAAGTTATTTATTCAGTTCACCCAAATGCTGACAAGTGTCACTTCCTTTCACTCCTCAAAACAAAACCGTAAGAAGAGAGGGCACTGAGGAGGCAAGAATCCACAGAAAGCCATGGTAATGTCCAGAACCATCTAGAAGACCATCTGATGGGGAATCGTCCTTCCCATCTGCTCCTTCCTACCTGGCAAGCTCTTGCTTTCCTAACCTGCCGGGAGGTGGAGGTGTGTGTGTGGGGGGGGGGGGGGGGGTGCTGTCCCTGCATTCTTCCGACCCTGGAATGTAGTGTAGTGAGAGGCAGGGGGTGGCCTGAAGACCCTCCTTCAACCTAGAGTTCCAGCTCAGCATTCCAAAATGCCTGAAGTTTTTCACTTTCACCTTCAAACTGAGATAGACACAAACATTGAAACCACCCTATACTTGCAATGCTATCCAGCTCTTTCTTCTACAGTATTTTTAGAACTGACTTTAAAAGAATTACAAAACACTCAAACAGTGAGCTACACAAATTCTTTTTTTTTTTTTTTTTTTTTTTTTTTTTTTTTTTTTTTTGGCCTTTTTTGTTTTTTTGCTGGAAACAGAAGGAACTCAGGCCTCACACGTGCCAGTCAAGTGCCCTACCAATTCCCAGCACCTTGCCTTTCTTTCTGGTTTCGTCTGGAGCAAAGCAGTCTATTTTCCTCATCCGCCCCCTCCCCAGGACAGACAGAAAAGGGAAGAATATTGTATTATCTTCACTTCTGCATTTCTTTCTGCCCTGTATGGAGTTTTCAAGGGGATTCCTCAAACTTGTGTTTTTACCTAGACGTTAATCTAGAGGAAGATGACCGTGGGTATTTCCATTCAATTCCTGATCCTTGCCGACTGAAATTTCACATCACTGAGGCAATCACGTGCACTTCTCTCGGAAGCTGCACTGGACGCTGAACTACAGGCTTCACACTCAGGATGCACTGGTCCTCAGTTTCTCTCCTGAACTCATTTCCACTCCAGCTGTATAACAACATGTATGATGGTACATAGAGCAAATACCCTCAGTGGCAGAAGAGGTAGAAAAAAGTGCTGACAAACGACTCCTGGAACCTAGATGGAACATGGAACCTGATGCCAACCCAGTTTAATACTTATCGGAATCGCTATCGGTACTTCCTCCATTTTGTGGCAAAATTCTCAAGACGCAAGTACAAAGAACAGTCCCAGGAGGTTAGGAGAGTCCTAAAAACTCACACAGAGCAACGAACACTACCATCACTGTTTGTTCAAAGCCTGGCTTTTGTGCCACATTCTGAGAAACCTCGGGGTGAGGAGGGCCCAGACACACTGGTAAGGAATCCCCTTTCACTGGAAAACTTCTGGTCTGGCTTTTCTTTAAGATCTGGGACTTACCACAATTTACACTGATGCATTGGGGACCGGGAGGGGCAAGACAGTCATCAGAGAAGCAAGAAAACACAGGGCAGCAAATGAAGTGTTCAGTTACGCTGACACACATTTTAAGCATAATTAAAGGTTTTTGGGGGTGTGTCAGACAGAATTCTTTTAGTGGAGACACACAGAAACACACACATGCTCTCTCCCTTTCTCTCTCTCCCTTCCTCCCTCTCTCTCTCTCTTCTCTCTCAGTGTCTATGGAAAATTTGTTACAGAATATCCCATCTCCCCTTACCAAAGTTCATGGATACTCAAGTCCCTCAAATAAAACAGAGTGGAACTGTCTTAAAGCCTATGTGCATCTTCCCATAGACTAACTCACCACTGGTGACTTACACCACCTCATACAGCAGAAGCACTATGTAATAATCTGGTCGAACAAGATGGCCCAGTGGGTAAAGGTGCTTGCAGTCAAACCTGATAACCTGAGTTCAATCCTTGGGTCTCACGGGGTAGAAAGAAAGAACCAATCCCTGCAAGCAGTCATCTGACCTCCATATGTATGCATGAATGCATCCCCCCCCAACACACACACTCCACAAACAAATCAATGTAATTTAAAATTTGTCATGACATCTTGTCTAGAGCACAAAGAATGGAACTCTATACATGTTCGGTTTTTAAAAAATACTTTCAATCTGTAGTCCCTTGAACTGCAGATGGAGAACCCACAGATGCAGAGAGCTGACGGTACACACACACGTACAGAGATTTAGTATAAGGAATTGGCTTATGTGATCATGAGCTGCTGCGTCTCGGGGAGGCCTCAGTTCAACTTTTTAGACTTCTGAACCGATTAGACGTAGCCCGTCCAGATTATAGAGACTAACTCCATGTAGATCAGGTCAGCTGAGGCACAAAGTCCCTCCAGGACCCCCACACTGTCCAACCTGCGTATCTGTGAGGTGGGAGACAAAGGAGAAGCCACGTCAAGGACCACGTAAGTAAGGGGTACATCCGGTGTGACTGACCTGCTTCTCTGACAGAAGGAGGGAGGCAGGCCTGGCACGGTGCCCAATATTTGATGACTAAATCCCGTGACCGTCGCCACGTTCACCAGCCGCACACACTTATCTTCTCCTCCACCGTCCATCCTTCTCATTTTCTCACACATGGTTGCTCGCCCCCATGTTCCCTGAATTTTCTCATTTTAACCCTGTCCACCTCATCTCATTTTTAAAAGCCAATTCCCAGTTGTGTTCTTCCATTTTTGTTTTGTTGATTTCCCACACTTGCTCCCGAGTTGTCAAGGAGCTCTGAGCAAACAGTCCTTACTTGGCCACCACGGTCACGTTCAGGGACCCAGCCTCGATACCAGGCATGCAGATGAGGTTCCACTGGAATTCTTCCCTCCCCCAACCTTCAACCCAAACTCTGAGGGTGTGAGCCCAGTGTCTTCATGGAGAAAGATGAGGGGTGAAGAGTAGGAAGAGGTGGTGTTATGAGTAAGTTC